TTCATTATGATATTATTAACAATACTAGTAATAACAAGAAATTCAATATTTGTTTCACAAAATTCAAGGATTAGGTAAAGCAGCATGGCATGTTATCATACCTTGACTCCTTTGAACTGAGTTGTAGATGGCATTACATAGTGTGGTTGTAATGTTGAAATGATGGGCCTTTATTGATAAGATCACATACACACTAGCTTTTTGATGGGTAGCACAGGTTGTAGTTGGTGATATGCAGTTTAATATTTTAGCGGATGAGGTATAACAGATGTCCTCTTTATTTTGAGACAAGTGCAGCAGAAATATCTAGCAAGTAAGGAAGATCTTTACTTGCTTCACATTTTTGTTTTTGGTAAAGGTTTTTGCCAGGGCTCCTTGAAAGGTATTTATGTGGGACTGAGACGAATTAGTGTAGGTGAATAATTGATAAGGGTAGTACAGCCAATGCATGGTAATGTAAGAAATCAAGGTAAGTGAGTCATATAATGAGTTCTAAATAAGAAGTAGGTGTATATCAGTGCTCAGTTTGTTGTTATTTATCATTCTGTTAGAGGTTCTAGTCAGGGAGAATAGCACTGATTACTCATTTGAGTTTCTTTACACTGATAACTATGCAACAGGGCATAGAGTAACGATAATCCAGGGTTCCACTAGACTTCTCTGACTCTGGTGCCAGGAACTATTACCCTAGTGCATTATCTTGGGAATTAACCCATTCACCCCATTTGGCAAGAATACGTGCCATGCCCACTGTAACAAGTTCATTTATTGTATTTACACATAGATGGCTCTATAAGTTCTTAATCACCAAATAGCCAGTTATTAGAACTACATATCTCACCTGTTTACCCTTTTCCTTCACTTTAGGAAAGGGTCTTTTGTATAATTTTATTGTCTAAAATATTTTGATGACAATGTAAAAATCATAACATCAGTAACAATAATAACAGTATAAGAAAGACACATTTTCCCACCAATTCAAGGTATGGGGATATCTGGATTGGTAACTATGGCATACTGATAGACTCCTTGCTAGCTGAGCACATGTGGAGCCATCTGTATGTAACATAATTCACCAAAAACTACAGGGGACAGAATATAAATCTGGGGTGAATGGGTTAAGGGAGCAGATGTAGTGTTCTTGCCCAAACCTTGTTAATTTTACCATTGGCATTGAGGACCTGCAGTCTTTGATCATCTTAGAAATTTATTTTGCTCTTGCGTTGAAGCCAGCATACTTAGCCCGGAGGAATGTAATTGTAATTTAGCCAGAATATGAGTCTGGGTAGTCACAAGTGGCTCAAGGACTAGGGCATATGCTGAATAGTGGATATGGCTTTGGAAAAATCAAAGGTCATGGTTAGTAGAGAAGATAGGAGAACTTCAGTTAAGAGTGATGCTTAGGAGCTGGAATAAACTCAATTTATTGTGAAGTGTAAGCATTGGATCCCAAAAGAATGTAGTTACATCAATGATAGGCTCAGAGGAATTGAGAAGTGTATGTGCAATAGATGTTTTGGTTGGGATAGTGGATGGAAAGAAATATCTCTTACTGAATCATTAGTGGAATAAGTTTTGTAACCTCTGGCAACAGTGGATTTCTCTTTACTAATTAATTCAATACCAGTGGGTTAAAGTTTGAGTAAAATATGGCAAGGATGTGTGTACACTAATTGGTGCTCATCAGCACCTGATCAATTGTCCAGTTCACTGTTAATTGTGGATGAAGAGTGTTAAGGCATGGAATGAACAACATAAAGAAGGAAAGATCACAGCCTGAAGAATAAGAAGACCTCTAGTGAACTGGGCAAATACCACAAATTGTTAGTACAGAAAATAATAAGAGGAGAAGATTATGGTTGTACAATGAAGACAGGGGAAAAGGCAGATGAAAACTTCACTACAAAGTGCACAGAGTTGAATACTGAAGGGTCTACGTTGTTATGAAAGCCATGGCAAACATACAATAAGGTTGCATGGTATAGTCCAAGAATTAAGGCAGTGGCCTTGCAATTGATGGAGAACAGAAAGCTTTAGAAATAGGCAAGGATTTCTTTTCCAACTTGTGCAAGAGTGGAAACAGAAACATAAAGCGGATGAAAATGGTGGCCACACCAATTCTGGTGTTCCTATAAAGAAAGAGTGAGTATGTAAATGAGTGAGTGAGTGTGGGAGAGTGTTTTGATGATTAAAGGTACTTATTTTCATCTTCTGTTCATAACAGGGTCTAGCAAGGACAGGATTAAAGAATTTGGGCAATACCTGCTACATGAATTCAATTGTGCAATGTCTGAATAACACAACACCTCTTGTCAAGTACTTCATAGAGGGCACATACAGGTCAGTGTTTTATCATTTTTTTGTAGTAGTATCTGCAACTGTCCTCTTGTATATGTTGATATATTCATGAGAAAGATATGCAACATTTAATTCAGGTACTTCTAGAGTTGCTGAGGTTTCCATATACTTCAGGATGACCATTACCAAATTCTCAGTCAAT